GATCCTAGCGAGAATATCATTATACACCTTACTCAATTATTAAGACTAACACCATTGTCTCTAGTTTCCAAAACCCCATAACACACACGAGTTACCTAATAATGTTCTGTTTTGCTGGTATCTGCAAAAAATAATCAATTTAGACAACTAAAGTCGAGCGATATCGGTAGCAGTGAAAAAATAATTGCCGCCTCAGTGCTTTCTGTCGGAATTGGAAAAATGTTTACCTAATTTTATGCATTTTTTTTTTTAATATAATGTGCATCATTGATATTTCGGTGCTTTTGCTCTTATACTCATGACTTCGTGTCATATAATATTCCTGCTTTATTTTTTACTTTAATAGCTAAAATCTATCCAAACATTTCATTTCATAATACACATGGTTCAACATTAGTGATTTACTAAAAAAAAAACCTCAGTAATAAATTCCCGTTTTATGAGCTTGTAATCAGGTTAGATGTCCAAACGTGCTTTTTAATTTAATCTCAGTTATTTAGATTCATTTTCGAGCAGCGAATTTATGAAGCTTTTACGTCCAAAATTATTTGAAAATCTTATTATAAATAACAACGAAAGAAGTTCCCATAATGCATATGAAAATAGGCACTATGATCGGAGAGCCTCGTGGTGGTGTAATGGTTAGCAACGTTGTCTTGCTAGAACAATTTCGACTGAGTAGTGAGTTCGATGCTCACTGGGTGCTCCATACTTTTGGCCTTGCACCACATCTGAGCTACGCTTGGAAAATCGCTATACACTATGAATGCTTTTATTACACGTTAATGATTTCCTGGTATAATTGTTTATCAACCAACCGATGTCGGCAAAATTTTTATATATGAGCAATATATACTGTTACTTTCAGTTTATGATATCTATTCTTATTAAAAAAAAAATATCGATAATAATTTGCTTGGGGGTGTTAGGCAAACAAAGACTGTGTAACAAAATTTATTTATAAAAAGAACAAAAAATATAGTTTAAAGAAACGTTTATCTTTAAAATAAACATATAAAATAAAATAACAAATATTTAAAGAAACACATATTTGCTTCAGGAAAACAGCTTCTTTTATGGCCTATTTTTTATTGTTTTTCTTATTTGTTTTTGTTTTTCAAACGACGGTTTTTTTTAGTTTTTAATGCGTGTCTGTGTAATGCAGATAACATTTTCCGTTTTATGCAGAACAATAAGAGGCTGTATTTTAAAAACGGTTTAAGTCGAGCTTGTGCAAAATCAGATATTGTCATCTTAATTAATGTTTTTTGAACTCTCATCCTGTCATAAGAAAATGTATATTTGATAACGTAAGGTGTGAATGTTTAAACTGCACCATTTTCATGAAAAAATATTGAGCAAAGATCCAGAAGGTGGAAATAAAACTACCGAAAAGCCATCCATTTAGATACAGATTAATATATATAAACCTGTGGTGAATGAAAAATAATAACTGCCTTCACCCACTCCCTTCAAATTGTGAGGACTTGGGAAGAAGAGGGAAAGGAATTCAAGAGCCTATGTGAAATTTTTTTGGACCAATGAAAACCTTGCCTTCACAGAAATTAGCCGGTGAGACAAGAAGAAGGGAAGAAAGTAGCAACTCTATGTAAAACTCTATTTGATATAAAATTAAAATAAAGAGAGAAGAGTATCTGAAATCATATGAAATGTTTTGTTTCTGTTCGTCGTGACCAGTGTTGAAGTTCTCGCCAGTGTAAAATTATTTGCCAATTATGTTACCGGCCTCTAACCAAGCCCTAGTCAATTCAAAGATTTTTCTCTCAACAATCCAAGAAAGCTAAGTATTTAAACTATCTCTCTATACAACCGTATATCTCTTCTGTGAGAAACAAACTCTCTTACCTTTGTTTTAAACAGTATTTTGTATCAGATTATTTCACCTGTTGTATGAACATTTCTTCTTCATGATAATACGTTAAAACCTACGCACTTTAAGAATTCTGACTTATTTTCCTGAAACGAGTTACTGACACTACTTCAAGTGTGTAAATTCGTAAATAAATTCCTTATTTTGTTTTGTTAAAATTACCCGTGTGTTTCCTTGTCATTATCATCCTTCATTAATCTTTTTGAAGTGAGTAAATCGACTGTTCATTTTAACTACTAAACCCCACGCGACTATAAACCTACTTAACAAGGAAAGTTATATTCTTTATTTCCATGACTTTACTATGAACACAATCTTGTTACGAATATTACTTTTGTCTTAAGAATTTAAGATCATCAATATTACAAGTTTTCATCTTCCTATCACAGCATTTTAACATATTTAACGTATTGCTAATCTATTGACCGGACAGTCAACAGAATAGAGATGGCTTGAACACCTCCAAAATAAAAACATCTGCCATTTAATCACTGCAGAGAACGTTTTCTGCCTTTCATCAGAATGGTTGATGGTAACCTCCAGCAGAACGACTCATTGCATCTTCTTGGGTTGATGGTTTCCGCTCACATGAAGTAGAGTGATTATATTGAATTAAGTGCTAAGTTTACTGCTAGGAAAAGTCGGTAAAACATGAACTATGAACTATAAACACCTGATATATATATATATATGTGTGTGTGTGTGTGTGTGTGTGTGTGTGTGTGTGTGTGTCTAATTTTTATCTTGATTTTCATTGTTGTTGTTTTTTTTATCTTTTTTGTTTTTATTTGTTGCACTCTTTTCCCCTCTACAATTAAAATGGCTTAAGAACATACGTGTAGCTGAGAGGATATTTTGCAAGAACTCAAGCTGTGAATCAGATGGGATTCAAGACAAATCATAGATAAAAAAAAAAACGCCAGTGAAATGCAATAATTTTTCTGGAACGACTAATAAGCCATTTTGCAGGTATGAACCACAGTTGGCCAGATCTGGTAATTTCTTTTTCATTTCCTAGCCTTCATCATAAAACTTGATATGGATGCGAAAACAGTGGCTCGGAACGAGAAACCGGTGAACCGTGTTCGAATTTGGGTCGAAATCTTTACTTTCATTTTCATACCCTTGAGAAAGGAATAAATTCATCTCCTCTCTTACCAGCTATGGGTTAAATAGAAGAGCAAACTGGCCTCTTTAGCTGTCAGTTTAAAAGAAAAAACATCTTTTAATTCAAACCATATGTAGCCCTTGCAAAGTACATACTACACAGACGTGGAAAAGATTATGGAACTGACAATTAACTGATTCAATATTGTGAACTCTTTGATCTTAACTGCGGTCGATGAGCTAGATAGGTAGGAACATATATTTGATTCACATAATATCTATTTGAATAAATTGTCATTTTACGTATATAGGCTATTTGGTATTAAATAATTTTCGTTTAGAGTTACATTCATTTTATTAACTTTTCTCTTATTTCAAATTATACATAATTTGCAACAACAAATTTATTGCATCCAAGATATTTTTGCTTGAATATTGTTTTCCAGCTCACATACATTTCTTTTAATGTTCGATCAAACGTTTTCTATGAATCTATTATCTGATAGATGCATTTCATTAATTTGTCATCTTTAAAACCTTTTTGTGGCAAGATGAGCAGTAATCAGTATTACATAATGTGAAGATGCATTCTCTTGCATTAATACACTCTTAAGCATAAAGTATCTCGATTGTGACCTTTAGCACTCAAGAACAGTCTGCCTAAGAACTAAAAATAATATCTTACGGTAACTTCTAGTATAGATAGATATTCAGTGTTCTTATCTTGCCAATGTTTGCAATTTAATTTTTGATCGATCTCTTATCACTGTTCAACAGTTTTGCAATTTCCAAACACTCAGTAAATTTACAATCTCATGTTTCTCTTTTGAATTTATATCTTTCTTACGACCCATAGAAAACTTTATGTAACACTTCCCATCACACACCGTCGTGGGTATGACGATAAACTAGGAGTGTGGAACTACCTCTTAATTGCTGGTGTCCCCAGGGCAATACTGACCCATTGTGGTAGCACCTGTTAGGGTCCCAGCTATGGGCAAATAGTTAACCCCCCCCCAAACTTGGGTCAAAGCTCTATGAAAGTATAAAAATAGGTTTAATACCAGCAATACCTTTTTGTTAAAAATTGTTACCAGCAATACATTTTTTGAAAAAATATTACCAGCAATAAAAATCTTGTCGGCATTAAATAACCCATTGAGTTTGATATGCCATAAAACAAAACAAAACATTTTTGAAAAAAATATTACGTGCAATATATTTTCGGAAAAAATATTACGAGCAATACATTTTTGGAAAAAAATGTTACCAGCAATATATTTTGGGAAAAAAATATTACCAGCAATAAAAACCTTGTCGGCATTAAATAACCCATTGAGTTTGATATGCCGTAAAACAAAACAAACCAAACCATCACATTGTAACATTAAAACATCTTGTTTCTTTTTAGGTTATAACTTTCTAATGACCCATAGCAATCTTTATATGTTTCTTCTCATCAATTAGTATCTTTAAATGTCTTTTTTCATTTTGAAGATATATCATTTTTATACCCCATAGAAATCATTATATAAATATTTCCTAACTTTAGAAAAACTGTTTACTCTTTTCAGATTATATCTTTCTAATGACCCATGTCAGTGTTTGTATACCTAAAATTCAAAATGAATATGAATGACTTTTAAATTCATTCGATTTTCAATATAAGCAATCATACGGTTACAACATATAATCGCTCACCACCAAAAAGACTAGGAAAATATTTCTAATGAATCAAATATTATAAAGTATAATTCACTCTTCTTTTCTCCATATAAATGTTAGTATATACTGAATTTTATCTACAGATCGATTTGTCAATATTGATTTTATAGTGAAAATATTGACTTGCATTATAAAATATGACACACCGCAAATCGAAGATAAGTTTTAGCTAATGCGCAATACCTGTGTGGATCTAGTTTAGAAATATACATACATACATATATATATATATATATATATATATATATATTACGCAGGAAATACCTCTTCGAAGAGGTTATTCTTTTTTCATAAAGAGAGACAAGGAGGGATACCGAGACAGAGAGATAGAGAGAGAAGGGAAATTAACGAATTCGAATAGATAGATAGATAGATAGATAGATAGATAGATTGTAAAGAGACTGAGATAGATAGATAGATAGATAGATAGATAGATAGATAGATAGATAGATAGATAGATACTGATTTGTTTTTTACAGTTTATTAATCTTTTTGAGGTTATTTAGTCGAAACATATTTTTAGAGATACTAATGAACTTCTAATACAAGTCTTACTATTTAACCAATAGATGTGGTGACCAGGTGGATTCATTCTTTTCTCAGGGGTATTTACAAGTAAGTAGCTATAAAATCACGACTGGAATTCGAATTCTGCTCACCGATTTCTCATTCCGAGTCTTTATCCATTACACCACCCGCACATACAAGCACCTAGTATTCTTGAACGGTCACTCATCTAGACACTAACCAGTGCAAATTTGCTTAATTCGTTGATCGGACGAGAAGCCATTTTTCAATGTGATATGGCTGTAAGCTAGATAGATAGATAAAGAGAAAGGAGGAGATATGAACAAAGTGAGATAGATAGATAGATAGATAGATAGATAGATAGATAGATAGATAGATAAACAAACATCTGAGATAGATAGAAACAGACTGAGATAGATATAGATAGATAGATAGATAGAAACAGACTGAGATAGATAGATAGATAGATAGATAGATAGATAGATAGATAGATAGATAGATAGATAGATAGATAGATAGAAACAGACTGAGATAGATAGAAACAGACTGAGATAGATAGATAGATAGATAGATAGATAGATAGATAGATAGATAGATAGATAGATAGATAGATGGGAAATACAGAGGGGGACTTTCAACAAGAAGGAGCGAGTTCTGGCGCACATTTCTTTAAGACAATTGCAGAGATACCGTCTAATGTGAAATGCCTGTGTGGATCTAGTTTAGAAATATATATATATATATATATATATATATATATATATATATATGTGTGTGTGTGTGTGTGTGTAAAGTGTATATAAATATAAATAAATATATATATGTATAATTATTTATATATTATATGCAAGGTACTTATAAGAAAGCGCTCAATATCAGAGATAGAGCTAACATATTTGGTTGGATAGATGGATAGATCTATCTAACCAAATATATATATATATATATATATATATATATATATATATATATATATATATATATATATATATATATATATTCAGATAAGCTGTGACTGGCCACTACTAAAGTTTCATATGTTTGCACACAACCTTCAGGTAGCCTGAAGATTGCGCACAAACGCATGAAACTTATAGTCGTGACCAGTCACTGCCAACCTGGTTTTTGAATTAATATTGAAGCTCTGCCATTTCTTATGGCATTGAGTACTTTTATGCCAGTGGGGCATACTCTTTTTGGGCAGACTTTTTCAGAGCTGCTCATTCTTTCTTGATGCATATATATATATATATATATATATATATATATATATATAATAATCGAACAAACTAAGATAGATAGATTTGATTATCTTACATCCTACAAAATCGCGAAACTTTTGAATGCACGGTGTATAATGGATGAACTATTACTTGGCATGAATTCAAATAAAACGTGTTTCACATCGGACAATATCCATCTTGTAATCGCGCTTGTATTTCTATCTTAATTAATGCCATTTTTATGTGTATTTGTATTACTCTACGTTTTTCCCTATTACCTTCTGTAATCCGTTCGTACAATTCTAATAAATGAATGTCATTATATGCAGTGTTGTATGCTGCAATCAGCTTCCAAAATCTCTTTACATGCGTCCCTTTTAACGCTTGTCATAGCCCCTTGCTATAGCCATAACCATGCCTAAATATATGAGTGATAGAGTTGTGCATTCTACAAATGTATGAGACGACGCCATTTTAACTTAATGGAGATATTGACTAATTTTATCTTATTTAGCCACCTGACTAAAATAATGAAACCCCCTGGGGATGGATGTTTTAGTATCTAAGAATGATTTGTATCTTTTAATTTTAACTTGATTTAGTCTGGCACAAGGAATACCCAGTGAGCATAAGGCTTACAAAAAATGGTATTCTAATTTCTTTATTGTAGGCGTTCAATATACGGTAACGTAAGTATTATAGCGTGTATCTTGAATATGTGTGTGTCTATATGCGTTGGCCTTATTGCATCTTCAAACATTTTTGTGTTTTTTTTTTTTTACAAATCAAAGAAACTCCTTGCTGCAAGTGATAGTTGAAATTTAATCTTTTGCACAAAAAATATAATTATCGATTTATTATTTTAACAATTCGCATAACTTTTTCGTTATATTTTTTCTTTCTTTTTTTTTCGTGTATTGCTTTTATTTTTATTTCTTTAATTGCTTTCTTGGTTCTTCTCCTCTTCCTTTTCCTTTCGCGCCAAAATGCGAGATTTAAAAATAGTCGAGGACGCTTCATACGATTGAAATAATCAGTGCGCTAATTCGTGCGCCATTTTGTTCTATTTTTGTTGATTTTTATTTTATGGCTTACATCTGTTCTGCTTTTCACTTCACAGCATCACCGCTGCTATTATCAAGGAAACAATCATTTTGTTGTCATGTCGACGATGATGATGGTAAAGGATGTTGGTAAAGGAGAGAAGGAAGAGAAAAAAAAAGTTAGTAAAATGATTCTTTGGAAATTCATCATCATTATCACTATCATCATCACTGTCATCGTAGTCCTCCGAGCACATTAATGACAGTGAAAGGTGGTGACAAGAGCGTTGTTACTGCTACTGATTAACAGAATGCATGGTTGTCAACAAAACCAACAACCCAGGACGTGAGTGATGTGTAATGTCATATTAGTAAAGTTTGATAAATACCAGGCTTAGATTTTTCATACGTAAAATAAATGTTTATTCACTGCTAAGCCTTGTCCTATTAAAGCCGATATAATCAAGGATATATGCTTCCATGTCTTTTTTTGAATGTTCAATCTTCTCACGACGATGTGAGGAACTCTAGTCTTTCTTTTGTGGTTCTGGCGCTTATAAGGTCGTTCCAATAATTTGGAACGATTTTAAACTTAATTCACATTTAAAATCGCTCCAAGTTATTGGAACACCCTTATAAGCGCCTTTATAACTTCCTGCCATTCTGTTGTCTTGTTTGTGTGTATCCTAAGTTTAGTGATGTTCACTTCCTGTTTATATCGCCGATATATTAGAAGACCCGATTTCACACTTAGTGGCTATGAAGCAACCTTCAACTTTGGACATTCTGTGATGACACCGAGTACAAAGTCTACTTAGATATCTTTAAGGGTGAACCCAGTATATACTGGAGTCACCACAGATCAACCCTCTTAGATCATTTCTCTTTATATGTCATATACGACAAAATTAAACAGGTAGAGATATTTAACCATACAGGTATCATTGTAACAGAAATTCAAAGGCTCATAGGTCACAAGACATTGAAAAGATCTTTAAAAACAAAGAAAAATATGGTTAAAATTCTGGGATTTAGTTCATAGGAACCAGAGCGTGTTCACAAACCGGTGGGACTGCATGCTGCTTGTTAAGGAAGCCAAACTCCTCCCCCGTCCCTGTAGTTTAACCCGAGTCCGCAAGGTGCTCGGTTGCCATGAGGAGGCGCTATATAGGGCTTGCTGATGGAGAGACTATATACTGGTAGGGGTAGACTTACGCACTCGGCTCCCCTTTTCACATTGCTGCTAGCCAGCGGCGGTAACTGAAAGCGAGAAGCGACAAGCACCACCACTACAGACTACCACACTAGACACATCACGACAGCCGTTGAGTACACACTGACTATCGTACACCTAGCTAATCTGATTCATGATCCATTCATTCTTAAAATTAACTCATTCAGCACAAGAACCCATTCTTCTACACTCAATCCGACATTTACCAAAATACCACATATTCACGGGGATCCGACACACACAAAAACCCATAACATAAAAATTTCAAAATATGTACAAATTGTCTTCTTTTTTTTTCTTATAAAAATATATAAAAATACAAATGAACTGAACAAAAACAAAAACAAAACTGTGTTAGTAAGACCTCTCGACCCCACAGAAAAAATAACAGAGGTCGCTGTATTCTGCCGATAAACAGAATCAGGAATCTAGTTCACTAAAGGTGAGGGAGTGACAAAACACATTTCTGAGTGGGAAAATATGAACGGCTGACCCAGTCAAGATAAAAAGGGGATATCAATCTAAGGGAATAATTACAAAAAAATACCCACTCCACAAATTTATAGACAAATAGATTCATAGCTGGGATTTCTACCTACCCAATAAAAATAGACAATTCTAGCTCTTACCCACATATTTTTTTCTTTCTTTCCTTGAAATCAGGTGATAACCACTTGACTGTATCCCTTTTTGTGTGCGAACACTATTTCTATTTTGTGAAATTTTTAATTTGTTACTGTCTTATAGTTGCATTGCATTATATTGTCTTGTCTCGTTCTATCTTATCCTGTACTTCTTATGTAGAGAATTAACTACGCTTCCTCAACAATAATTCACACATTATCAATATTATTCGGACTATTGTCCTCATCTTTGTCGCCATATTTATTACGTTTCGGTCTTCTTCAGGTGGTTGGAATGTCGAACTGAACTCTTTATTTCTCTCACTGGAGCAGATTGTTCTAGTTCCACGTGCATGTTTAATGGATGTCACTTATCAGTTATCTCCTGTAAATAAAGTTCTGCACTGCCTTAACCGGGTATTGAACTCACACTCTTTGGGTCCTGTCACTGGATCTAACCAACGCCTTTATCCCCTGTGCCTTGAGGACATCTGTGTATGAATTTCTGGGTATTATAAACCTAATAATTCACACATAATAAATAAAAGGAATGTGTAAAGAAACATGATCGCCTACTTTCTGTGGATGTGTGGCATTAAAAGAAAGCTATTTGATAGCCTTCATTGACGATGAAGAAAGCAGAATTTTTCCAAACTTTAAGCAGTTATCATTTGGATGTTTCCAATTCGTCTTCGAAACTCCAATGCTTTCAAAATATACGCCTGGCTTTTGTCTTTCACAGCGAGCCAATAATAATTAATCACCGTTTTCATATAATAATATTTTTCTCTAACAATATATATATATATATATATATATATATATATATATATATATAAAGTTAACATAGAAGTCAATGCTTAGAGGCGACAGTCTGTTTCATGCTAGATGCAATCGTCAGGCCATGAGTGCAGTCGTGGTCTGACGCTTGCATCTAGCATGAAACAAACTGTCGCCTCTAAGTGTTGGCTTCTATGTTCACTTTTATATTTACACACGCTCTATCTCTGATATTGAGCACTTTATCCCATAAATATAGCACATCTTAAGACTATATTTCTTATATATATATATATATATATATATATATATATATATATATATATATATATATATCTGGGGAGATGGATCAATACTTTTCCTAAGAGTATTTGCGCGCAAGTGAAGATAAAAAACCCAGCTGAAATTCGAACTTGGCTCTCCGAGTTCTCATTTTCAGAGCCGTTGTGCATTACACCACCAATGCATGGAAAAGAAAACAAAAGATACAATTTGGAAAAATCAAATTAAAAGACAAATAATAATAATAATAATAATAATATAAGTTTCAGAAGTTCAAATGTAAAAAAATAGGTTTCATTTTATTTTCATATATTTTATTTTCATATATATCTATATATTGTTCAGATTTTCACTTCTCCAGCTTTATTTTGTCGTTCACTGGATCAGCGAGCTCTACTCATTGATAAATCTCTTTTTTTTTTTTTCTGGCCTCGATTGGGTGTTCACTTGAATGTCAAAAAACTGTAGACTTTTAAATTT